GTTTTCGGACTACACTGGGCACTGGAGACACGTCTGCACGCTTCGGCACTCCACAGCGAACTGAGGATGGCACCGAGATGTCTGCAGATTCTTGGTGCGCACCCTCAATAGTCTTAAGTACCCACCAGGGGCCTTGGCATTTTCATAGTTAAGGTCCTTCGGACCAAGCGAGTATTTCCTGTCTTAGATTCCCTTTACATTTATTGTCTACCACGTGTTAGCTTAGAAAGTTGGTTTTCTTCACATCTGGTATGTTCCGTTAGCAACTTTCTCGCGAGGGCGGCTCACGAACCCTTCCTGGTTCACCAACCGTCTTATTATCCAATCGGAGATGGTTTCTACTGCCCTCACTTCCTTAACCAAAATTGTCATCAACAAATCCGATAGTTCCGTGTCCTTAGACACATCCACCCCTAGCTTTCCTCAGACACAGTATCGTCAGTAAGACTTCACTTATTCTGTATCCTTAGAATAGTCAACATATCTTTACCGGTCTCTACTCTTATAACAGTCGCGTACTTAACTTATCAGTGTAACTAAGTCTTAAATAACGTGATTGGAGTGAATTGTGATTTATGTTAATTCAGTGTGTATTCCGTTGTGATTGCTGAATTCGTAATAAAGTTTAATTAAAACAAAATTAATAGGTGTGTTACGACTCAGCTATTTTATTTCATCAACCAACCCCAAAAATTACGTGACACCACATACGCCTTCTTCTAGAACATTCGGCGGAAGGACCGTTGGGATATCGATGGCTCATTAGGCACTTCGGCGATATACATTGTCGCCGAGTGCTGCCACATCTTTATCTCCATCATCAGTCCATCGGATTTTAAGTGTGCCGGTCGTGACACATACGCCGTAAAGACATAAACAAATACAAGTTTCCACTTTCATTTTTTTGTTTTACTAGAATGAGGAAATAGCCTAAACCATGTCTAAACTAAACGCACCATGTGCCGTCCCGAAACTCAGTTTTCGTGGATTCATTATCACTATTCATTATCACTATTCTTAGACATCCTTTAATATTACTAATGTATCTAATTCTGGCTTATCATAATGCATTAATTTACTATTTGTTTCATAGAAACTTTATTTTAAGATGAACCATATTCAAAAATGTAAAAAGAGAGATTTGAAGATAGGATATACTTACATGTTGATGACGCCCTGTAATAGATGAGTTAGAAAACGATGAATAATTAGGAGTTTCGTATTTGTAAAAATACAAATATCTGATACAATGTGTCGCACCGACCCAACTTGCTGTGACACATATTGTGACGCACACTCCAAAATATATCTGAAATCATAACATACCAACATCTTGAAAAGTAATTAATAGATATATTTTTCAAATTCTACGAGCCATAAAAATCCATGTTCAATTTATGTATAAAATTAATCAAAACGATTTTGTCATTTTTGTAAGTTTTATAATTCCGTAACATGTAGGAGAACGAACAAAAAAGACTGAAAGTGCTTATCAGTCAGGATAGAAGAAATAAATAAGCAGTCAACATGTTTCCAAAAAGTAACAAAGGAATTGTACTCTAACAATATATAAAGCGCTATAAAATTAATATTATTATAATATAATAATAATAATATTATATAATATAATATTAACATGATTATTGATTATGGAAGAATAAGCTAAAGCTAAAATTTTAGAATAAACTTCTGTTATATGAAGATCCATACTAAAGTTTTCTGACAGTATAGTAAAAGTGACTTTAACCACTGTAAGAAAATGGTATAAACAAATGAAATGATAGAATATTGTTATTTTTAAACTGAAAGGAGCAGCATAAAAGATTTGTTCATTTTTAAAAAGTGAGATTGCTTCAATCATATACATACATCCAACATTTCCTGTTTTCTTCTGTTATTACAGACAAATAAATAAATATTAGAAATCAATAGACCTTTTTTGCAGATTCGGCGCAACAAGATGCGTAACAAGTGGATAAGGAGTTGGGCCTTTGTTGATAAGTAACTGGTGGTACTGTCACATGAGGCTGAACTTGAGTTTGATTTGTATTGTGCCCTTGATTATCTGCATTTCCTCCAGAACCAACTCCGCTTCTAGTTGTTTCCAAAGAACGACAACTCGGTACAGAATCACCACAGCCACCACTAACGCTACATCCTTGTTGCTGTTCACAGCCTACACATTTATATCAAATAATTATAATTGAAATAAAATTCTTTTCAAGGACGCTTACAATTCAAGTAACAAACATCATGTAAACCAGTCTTATTATAGTTACACTGAATTTATAATTTGATATTATAAGTATGTGTGACGCGGGATATAAATTCTTTAAAATTTACATTATACTATCTATAATATTTATTATATTGTGACTGAGTAAAACATTTTTTTTTAATTTTAAATGACAATCGTTGTTGGTTTTCACGAAATTTTGTGTTCACGAAATTAGATAGTTCTTCCAAAAATATTTCATGTAAGGGACATACGCAAATGATTTTGTTACGAGCATCATATCGTTATTCTACACTTTTGGAGCAGCGAAGATCTACAAAAACAATAGGTACAAAATTGATCTTGATCTTCAATTGAAGGTCAAATTTGGAGGAAGGAAAACGAGATCGATGTTAATGAAGTCGACACTGATGTACGTGGTAGTGATAAAAGTCGATTAATCCTTTTTCAAAATTCAGAGATTCATCCGTTACGGGTTTCCTACGTACTCGCGTAAATACAGGCCAGTTGGAAGTACAATTAATTGATCCTAACATGACCGTACAAGGAATCCTAATAGACTTCGCGAGGAAGAGCACAGAATAGTACGTGAGAGAATCAGCGAATTAATCAGAGCCAAAAATCATAAGGCCTAGTGATTCACCGTTCGCGACTCCTATGTTACTCGCGAAGACGAATGACGGTTCGGGTAGATTGAGTGTAGATTTTCGAGAACTAAATAAAAATGCGGTCGCGGATCGGTATCCTTTACCCCTTATTGCGGATCAAATCGCGAGATTGCAAAAGCGAGATATTTTATTAGTCTGGGCATGGCCAGCGGGTTTCTCCAAATCCCTATTCATCTTAATTCTAGGAAATATACAGCGTAGGTTACCCTCGATGGACAATTTTCACAATAAGTTGTTGTTTTCTTCAAATCCTTTTGTGCCTTTGTTCGGCCCATTGGACGTCTTTTATTTGCATAGCATGGTTGCGTGCGCGTCTAGTGTTTCTTTCGGAATCGGTTTTTCAGAACGGCGATATTGCGCTGACTCCATCGAAAACAAGGACTTTGCATTTTTGACAATCCTAATGATTTTGCGACTAATACTTGTCTAAATGTTCTAAGGTTTATGTTCTTCCTTGCTGCAATTTTGTAAACCATCAAGGCGTTTACCACAGAAATCCTCAGAAGGAGTCGCATGCTAGGTCTTCTGTACCATTTGATCCTTTTTCTAATATTGGTGACGTAAGGAACCATTTGGTCGGAATAATCTGTACCACACGTTCCTTCGTTATGTTCAACAACAGTTAGTGGTTTTAATGCGGCGAACTAACGAAACGAGAGATCATTTTTGAGATTCCCTTGAAAACACGCGTAGCAGCCAACGTGCCATTCGTACGTTGTTGTTTATTTTGATGAGGTTCTGTAATTGCCAACTCCATGGATCAAGCTCTGGCAAGATTGTACACCGCGTTAAATACACTCGTAAACGCCGGATTTTCTTCTAATTTTTCTAAATGCTCGTTCCCAAACATATCGGTACTCTATTTGGGACATGTAATTCATGGTAGAGAGGTTCGCCCCAGCCCGGGCGGGATGCAGGCCTTGAGTTCTTTACCTAAACCAACGACCGTCGCACAGTACAGACAGTTCATGGGTTTAGTTTCTTACGTCCGAGAATTCGTCTCTAAATTTTCATAGGTAACGAAGCCTCTATGCACACTTACTTCCGGTAACAAAAACGAACTTGGACAGATAACGCGAGAGGATGAGGCGAGGGTTAGTTTCTGTTCTAACGGATGCTTTGGTGTTGATGATGTTTGCCCCTAATTACTCGATAGGGTTACATACCGACGCTGGTTTGGATGTATATGGGGTTACTTTAATGCATAAGGTTGACGGTGAAAATAGAGTGGTAGGATATTATAGTAAAGGACCTAGCCCTACGGAATCTAGGTATTTTTCATATGAACTAGAGACGTTAGCAGTTGTTACACGCTGTTAAACATTGTCGTCGCTATTTACATGGACGAGAATTTCTTGTTGTTACTGATTGTAATTCCTTGAAGGCATCTAGTAACGGGGTGAATTTAAATGACCGGGCTTATAGGTGGTGGGCTTACTTACAAACTTTTACTTTCGACATTATGTATCAAGGAGGTAAACGAAAGGCCCACGTAAGTTTCTTCTCGCGAAACCCCGTAGACTTGGATCACCGTACGATCAACAAAGTCGTAGAGAAGAAAATCAATCCAACCGAAATCCCCGAAGATTGGCTATTAGCGGTACAACATCGCGAACTCCGAATTTCTGAGGTCGTCAGTAAAGTGCAGAACGAGGAGCTCACGGAAGATATTGCGAATACGTATGAATTACGGTCCGATACTCTTCATCGCAAAATACAGAGAAAAGGCAGAACTCTCTGCTTGCCATTGTCTCCAGAGATTTTAGGTGGTTCGTTATTAACTATGTGCAACAGTCAATTATGCACTTAGGTTGGGATAAAACGCTCGAGAAACTATACGAGCATTACTGGTTCGAAGGAATGGCGAATCGGTAGTGTCCATACTCGTAGTATCAGGCCGTATCTTCGTTATAACACAACGATGGCCAACTCAAAGGGAGGTCTATCAAACGCCCATAACCCTGTTCCTGACTCTTCTCCGTCATATATATAATAATGTATTTGGCATATCTACATGCAATAATAGATGCTATTTTTTCTATATCTGACTGCAAAATGTAAGCATATTATAAATAAAGTGAATTCCGAAACTAATGGAACTTTAACATTTCCTTCCAAAACGGAATTGAAAAGAATTGGAAATTCTTTTTAAAAAACGATTGAATTGCAACCCATTGTTTCTTTGAAATCTTTTATCTTCATAATAATTAGAATACGATACAATATAAAATTGAATTTCAAAGTTAAGGTCAATTTTGCTGCTACTTTTTGCAAATTTTTACCGTGTCAGAAATATAGAATAATGCTGTAAGTGTTCATAATAAATCATTTTCGAACAGGCTGTATATACAGGGTGGTTGGTAACTGGTGGTACAAGCGGAAAGTGGGTGATTCTACGCGAAAAAAGAAGTCGAAAATATAGAATAAAAATTTTTTTTTCTTTTTTTTTAATTTTTCCATCGAAACAACGACCTACAATGAGATCCGTTATAACGTACCGCACGCGTACCGAGCGAAAATTCAAAGTCGATTTTCTCGAAAACAAAGCCTCAAACGAAAAATTTGTATTCTATATTTTCGACTTTTTTTTCGCGTAGAATCACCCCCTTTCCGCTTGTACCACCAGTTACCAACCACCCTGTATATTTATTTATATACATATATGTATACAAAAAATAATACATGTACATATATATTTGTAGCGGCACATGATTTAAAGAACAATTCAAATCCTGTTGTTGTTTTGCCTCGGAGTATCAAGACCGTTAGGTTACAAGTAATATAAGAACAAATAAACTCCGGGCAAAAGAATGTCACTGCTATATACAACCGTCAAATGTATAGACGAATTCGAATTTTCCGGTTCTCCCTCCACCAGTATAAATAAACGGCCGCGATCGCAAGGAATGAATTACAATCAGTTGTCGATCAGTTATCAACCAGTTATCAACGAATTATCCGCGATGTAATTAACGAGTCATTAGCGATCCTATTTTACGACTTATACACTGTCTTAACAAATCGGTTAGTACGAGCGTCTTTGCAAACATTATCTGTATACTAATTTATCATTTTAAATATTATATATTCGACGGTTTCAACAACGAGCAATCTCATCCATTAAACCTCACCGACCAACCGCCCTCTACACATAAACCTCTACATATTATTTTATCGACAATTATAATAAAGTATAGAAAGGAAGAATAAATATAATAGTTGTGCTTTTTTTGCTTCTTGTTGCTACATGTAGCAAAATAATTCCAACAATCAAACAGTGCGTTACAGAAACTTTTTATTCACACTGAGACACCTAATCTCAGGAATATTTGGGTTCTATTCGGTTTCAGACTAACAACACGTATACACTAAAGGAATATGTATCTGTTTCTCTTGCTTCGTGGTGCCGCGTATTTCCCATTTTTCTTTAATCTTTACCTTTATTCTTTATCGTTTACCGTTGGAAACAGGCAACAAACGGCGATTCTTGTTGTAGGAAACAAAAACACGAAAAAACAAAGAAACATTCGACGACAAGCTGCGACATTTGTAAGACATGGAATAGAACATTTTACAAAGTACTATGTATTTAAATATAATTCTCATAAACGTTCAAGTTACTTTACTTGTTACTTACTTACAAGTTACTTACTTACATATACATTATTAGTATCACTACTATTAAGGAAAAAGTAATTGAAAAGATTGGCAATATTGCACAAGAATAACATAAGTATATATCTAGTATACATATATAGACGCAAATTAGAAAAACGCAATATAATGAAAGCTGTAAAAGTAAAAAAGGCATAAAAGTGAAATTAGAAGCCATTGTACCGAGAGACATTTTTAGTTGTTTTTGATTAGTTAAATTTTGTTCGTATATTATTTATTTATTTACGTAAATATTTTATTTCCGCATTAAAACATTCTGAAACGATCGATTCAAATTCACGTGTTCAACTCAGCAATCACTATAATACCATAGTGCTCGGACAAGCCGATGCTGCAAGAAGCGCGAGAGGTCGGCAAGAGTATTTTATGAAATACAGTTGTAAATGTGTTAGCTGTTAGCTGGTACACGGATGAACCTAACGAGAAGTTAGGGAGCCACTAAGATTATTGTAAGCGGCAAAGAACTTGATACGACTTCAGGAAGTTATAGAATACAAACAAACCTGATGCAAAATCAGGTAGTCGCAGAAGGGGTTTAGTTTTTGTGGACGAACCCGATGCGAAATCCGAGAAGCCATTGTGTTGTGATTTTCTTCAGATATAGACACATGAGAACGAGCCCAATGCGAAATAGGTACCTTTGTTTGGTAAAAGTCGACACGATAGTATAAAATCGAGCAATAAAATCGTCTCGTGTAGAGAATGTGATTTAATGTTAGCTTTTCAACATAAAAGCAGTATGGGTTTTAAACAGATATATTTGTTAATTATTTTCCGCTATCTGTATCTTGAATGTCCATTGACAGCTTATTAGATTGGCAGATTTTTTCTTACGTTTTACGTTTCTTAGTTGTGGCATGTTTTCGATCGCTATTTGACGCTTTCCATTAAATTGTTATAGTATTGTGTTGTTACTGCCTTGATCTTTGCTAATAGTGTAATTTTGACCAATTTTAGTGATCTTTAATTACATCATATATCAATATCCTTTGCTTTAGCCATTCGGAATTTAAATTTATTGAATAACAGATATACTCGATCTTATATTTACTGAAAATAACGAATATACTAATACACAGGTAACTGAACACATCTTATCAATTTAACGGCTTGAATGAAGTTGATGATAACAAATAATAATTTATACAAAAGCTTTGATTATTGACTCAATTTTGCTTTATTGTAATTCAAAGTCATTGAAATCGATGAGGTCACTCCTATTCCAAATAATAATTATAAAAGTCCTTCAAAAGAGTATAGCAGTTACAAAAAGATTAAAATTCTTTCTTTGTCAGATTGACAAAAAAATCTTTAAAACATACTACATCAGAAAGAACTAAACTTGAATCAAAATATCCATCAGTATATTTACATAAAAGTTTCACTTTAAAATTTTAAACAACTAAAAAATAATTATGTCAGAGTCCAAGCTAATACCACTGAAATTTACAGTAAAATTGTTCTAATCTTGAAAGAGAAGAATGCATATTTCTATACATTACAGTTAAAGAAAAATAAAAGTTATAAAGTAGTATTAAGAGGAATGCACCCTAAAACAAACATTGATACAATCACCAAGGAGTTAAAAGACTTTAATCATTGGATAAAATATAAATAACAGAGTAAAACACAATACAAAGCTACTACCGTTTAATATAAATAACAGAGAAATTTCTTTGACTTTTTAACCTTGTCATATTACACAAATTAACATTAACAAATTAAATTATAATATAATACAAACTTTATGCGTTAATGTATGTGTTTCTATTGAGTAGCATAAAATATAGTATGAATATAATATATGTAGTACATTGAATAGACAATTAATATGGACTTACCAGAATTGTCATGAGTAATTTGTCCAGCAGTGTTTTGAGAGCCATGGTTCTGCTGATTATCACCAAGAATAATACTTGAGGTATGAGTCTGCTGGGGATGAAATATTGTAGGAATATCCCCGACTCCTCTGCTACCCATGTTTAAGTTTGTTCTTTGAAACATGTAACATTTGTTGTCATCACACTTATATAAAAGTATAATATTACTTTACATTAATTCATATGAAATACTTGTGATATACGTATGAAAATGTTAATGAAGTCTGCTGTTGTAAAGGAGTACTGCAGTATAAATGTTAGTACACACAGTACTATAATATAAACATTAGTACAAAGTCTTCGTAATTCCAAAATCTATTTTACTAAACTTTGAAATTTAATATCTTAGATTAGCATACTTATTATGCTATATACTAAAATATCTCTTATATATTAAAATATCAATATTCTCCAACATAGGTAATATATTGTTTTCCCAACATAGACTGATGAGGTCATTTTTTTCTATAGTTATGTATAGTAAAACTACCTAAATTTATTTGCTAACGTCTGTACTTGAAAGATACAAAGTAGTATACAAAATTAACTAATAACAAAGCAACTTTAAACAGGAGTCTATTTCTACTTCTGTATCTATTTAAAATAACTACTCTATTATTCACAAAATTTTAGAATTTTATTAATAATCACATTTAATTAAACTTCATCATAATGATAATACTTAAATTTATAAACCTTTACATATACAATTAGTAGAAAATTATAAATAAGTGTACACTTAGTTTAAGATAGTAAATTATTTATAATGATATATTTAATATTTTGAGGGAATTAGAAATAAAAATAATACAGGTGTAAAAAATCTTTATTAATGAGAATGTAACATATCTAGAAACACAAAACAATGAAAGTATTGTTTAAAAATGACACTTATTAATTTATTTTAAGTTAATAATTGATATTTTAAGCTATTATAACCAAATTTAATCTAAAAAATAATAATCTATGTTACTTTTCTTTTTAGCATCCATACACTGATGCTTATAAACAATTTACTGCAGAATACATATATTAAGAAAAATACTAACATTTTGATTTCATAAAGATGTAAAACTTGTTAAAACGCATGAACATTATAAACATGTGCAAAATATTTCATTAACAAGTACAATATCCAAAAGAAAATAAAAATGATTTAAATTTTATAATATATACATACATACATATATTAATTGGTATACATATATATACTTATTAAAATTAATTATTACCAGAATTTATATCAAATAGCTATTGACAACGAATAGAACGTAACTTATGAGAGATAATACTCACATATTTCATATGATATACTACTTACATTGAAATATATTAGATCTTTTTATGGATTATATTATATTAGATCCAGAAATCTAACAAATTTCTTTCTGTGAACTAATAAATTTAACATTTACGAAATATTTATTTCATAAATCTATATTTTTGTGTATATACATGAAGCAATTTCTTCTTTTTAGGGGAAAACACTGATTAATTATTAGACATAACAATAATGAGAATTTATGTAATTTTTGCGACTTATGAATTAAAATTATATCTACATAAATAATGTATAAATAATTCTTTAAAATTTCTATATTTAACAAAAGATGAACAAAATATTTTACCTTCTATACTTTTCCCAATTACTTTGATAAAATATGTAAGTAATATTTTTTAACTTTTATGTCCTACGTTAAATATTTTCATCTTTTAAAAAGCATAAAAACTTGCGATTCATACAAGTTAGTAAAATGGTATAAAAACGTGTATGATGTTTTATAAACGAGTTTTTTCAAATCACAGAAATTGACATACCTTCTTTACATTTTTCATCGGAGATCATAACATGTCTTAAAGTTGATGTATCCATCGTTCACTATGCATTTAACTGGCTATTACATATCACAAGCACTGTCATTTTAGTTTTATTGTAATTACATCACACGATCGTTTCACTCTTTGTTGCTCCATCAGTTCTTTAGATTAAAATGTTTTATGGCTGCCCTATTAACGGAATCTAATAATGCAGGAGCTAGCAGAGAATTTGTATTCCACTGTCATTCAGTACAGCTTGTTATTTTTTAGACTGAATAAAATATATAATTCTTATTATTTATTAAGAAGTAACTTGAGTTACTCGATTACTTGGTTATGAAGAAACACAACATTAGTATAATATCCACATCGACGTTACTTTTTATATAAATTCAATACAACCTATACAAATGATCTTCAAGTAGTTTTAAGTGTGCTATGCTATGTCACGCCATTGATTACTAGTAAACTTTGTACTACCACCCGTTTGGAACACCCTAGTTGCGTCTGCGCTTCGTTCACTTTCTATCTATGTATTTCATTGGGGTTTAAGAGACCATTCAGTGTACTGAATTATTGTGTGTTTATATTTCATTAAATTTAAATTTGCTAGAAAAAGTAATTTCCAGTAAAGTTGATGTTTCTAATCTGAAAACATATGAAACCACTTTTTACAAGTTGTCTAATACATTGCATCTAAGCATAAACATAGCAGCATTAATTTAAAAAGTTATGATATCGAAAGTATTATTGTAGAAGCATTGATCAATCTTATATACCAATTAAGTAATATAATAAAGGCAAAAACATCATTTATTAATCAATTATGTGCTCATTAGTACATGTTAATTATACAGTCATTTATAAATGATATACTTTTAAGTTTTACCTTTCTTTATTCAGTATTATTACATACATAAAAGTTTTAAAATAATTTAGATTCGATCTTTCTTTAAAAAGTGATTTTTTCTATTTCGAGTATACATTATTAAAACGAAAAATGTAAATAAATATGTACATACATACAAGTCACACAATGTAATTTTAAGCATTTAATGTCAGCACTTCTTTACTTATATCATTTGTACAACAAATAATTGTCAGAATTAATCATAGGCATAGAATATTACTATACATTTGCTAAATAATATGTTGTTCACTAAAACTAAACTAAATCTTCGTCACGAAAATTAAATATTTTTAATCTTTCTTCAATCGTAGATACATTTTTATTTAATCCCCCTATTACTCGTATGTATCTATATGGAACATATGAATACTAGCACTTACTGCTAAATGTTCACTTGCACCCTTGACATCGTACATGATACATTTCTCATATTACCCATAGAAGATATCTCTTGAATATTTCTTGGAATCAATTTTAAAGAACGACTATTTTTCGCAGATATTACAAAAGCTTATACAAAAGTAATTATTACACTCATAATAACAAAAAATGGTCATAAAATTCGTGTATTTGAGTCTTAGATGTTTTTAAAGAACTTATTGCACTTTCTATTTCTCTTATTATTTCTTTAAATTCATTTTGTGAATTCTTTTCACCCCTTGAATCATAAAATATTTTTCACAAATTTTCATAAAATATTTATTGACAAAATATTTTTTCATTATACTCTAAATAATCCTATATAAAATACGCAAAAATACTATATAAAAAAGAATGGAATGTATTTTGGAATCATTTTCAAAACGCAAAAATCAGAATTATTTATTTTATCAAATTATATTGTTACCTCTACTATTACTTAGTCTATATTTCAAGTATCACTTTAAACGCACATTATGTTGAAATATTTTCCGTGACAACTATTGGTTGTATTCAACGTATTTAACTTATTATAATATAGGCTAACGTAGAGTACAGGTTTTTAATATAATGTATAATCAAAATAAGAAGACAAACAAGCAATTGTTCATATTCACCGATTCATTATTATGTTGCTCTGACAGTTTTATGCTTAACTAAAAGTATCAAATTTATTTAGATAAAATGCAATAAACATGGACCAAAAAGTAAATCAATCAAATGCAAAATATGACTTTTTCCAATTTGATCCGACACGATTCTTTCTAAAAAATTAATTTCTTCGTTCTTAAAGTCGATTTTAGAACAGCTAAAACCTGAAATATTGTTGAAACTGTTAATTATGCCGGAAAGTTCTTTAGATAAAAATTATATACTTTTAAGAAAAGAATAATTTTATATAATTAGTTTTGTATAGCTTGATGCGTAGAGGTCATATAATGGTCAAATTAATTTTTTTTAATCATAATTCATATAGGTATTTTTTAATGTATTAATCAAATTACTCGTCACTCCTTGTAAAAGATTTATTAATTCGTTTATACCAAAAAGCACTAGTTTTGAGAAGATATTTCAATTAAAAAATTACGAAATGTTATTAGGATACCCATTTGCGATTGTTTTTTTAACACATGTTACTTTCATTTAGAAGATGGTAAAGTCTAATGAGTGGTATTTATCTGTACTATTTTATGTGTTATTATAATAATGTTGATTCACTGATAATCTTTAGTGAAATAATAAATCTTATAAAATTTATCGGTGAGTGAACAGAATCATTAATTGCTGCGAAACAAAAGGTAGTAAGTACGTATAGTAGTAAGAAATAAGAGATAATTTAGGAAACAAAATTTAATATTACAATGAAGATTTTTTTAGTAAGGACGTACATTGTTAGATTATTTTTGTTTTTTCTAGAAATAATACTTCACAGAGATTCGTTTACATGGAAAAATTACTGTAACGGTCGTTACACTTACTTTTCTAGCACTCTGTACAGAAGTGTTAAATAAAAGCAATTTATGTAAAAATGCAAACTGTTTCTTTTTATAAAATAAGGCTTACAAAATTTACAAGGACAAGTGAAATTAAAGTTTCTTATGTTCTTTTGTTCGTTTACTGTGTTAAACAATCAATTTACCAATAAATAAATACAAATAACATGAAAATATCATAATATTATTTTTTTACGCGAAATTATTTTTAAATATGCATCTATTACAATTTGTATTATATAACATACACTAAAATGTTATTTATATTACTTTTTACGTCTATTTTACTGTTCACAGTATTTATTTTATTACGTTATAAAATATTGTCATTTTTTACATCGAAATATAATAATTTGTCAACTTCTCAGTAAAATTCCTTTTCTTTGCACTAACTTACATATTTCTTTTCAAGAGAAAAATAACAAGTAGCAAAAGGTTTAATTAATACAAAAAAATAATTGCTATAGAGCGGGAAAAGAACATTTTGTATTCAAAAGTTCGTTTCAGTTAACCAAGTTAATTTCATACACAATGCATTTTAATTAATGTTGAAATATGAACAGCGACTACCTAGCTTAAAAATTTTCTGTTATTTAAATTTCTAGTTAAATTATATGTTGTAAGTTAAAAACGATAAGTTTCTTCAAGATTTGTTTTATAAAAATGATAAAACAAGTTTCTTACATAAAATTCTTTATGTAATAAATATTAAGTGATACCATTTTCAAAAATTATAATTTCCCTAAAATAAGAGAAAAGCACATAGAAAAAACTTAAGACATTTCATTTTTCCTGATTTTCTATGTAGGTTGTGATCTTTTAATTTAATTAAAAATTACAATCGTCCATATATTTCATAAAATATGTATTTTATTTCTTTTCAAATGTTGAGGTAATGGAAAATAAAATTAGACCAATTAAGTAAAAAATATTTTATTTTATACTTTTCTGAAATAAGAGTTTTGATTTATATTAAATAATATATGAATTAAATATCACTGAACTTACTTCATATTAATACTTGAAGTTTGTATTTTGTTATGTCTAAACAATCTAAAACCTATACGTTATTTTGTAAAAAAATGTAAGTACAAGTACATAATTATACAAATAGTACAGTCATACGCAATAATAAGAATAACTTATGTAGCAAATTACAGATGGACGAAAAAATTAGATCCACAGTGATACATTCAAATACATAATAGTAAAATTTTATAAAAATATAGTAATATAAAAGAACACCAAACACAAATGAATGCACGAATGATTTTTATTTTCGCCATGCGTGCTTATAAATTACTCAAGAAAATTTTATGCAGTTCCATCTGTATTTACTATAATGACAAAAATTAGACAAATAAACCAAACATTGTAACAGTAGTAATTAAATTTACAGATTAATTACAGTCTTATTATAGAATAACACTTACAGATAAAGTACTTAAAAGAATTTTCACAGATATTATATACATTTAGTATGATATTCATCTTATGTTGAAGGTATCCAAAGTATGTGTAAAAATTAAGGAAAACAAATTAAGGTATATATGTAAAATAAAATATATTAAACATCAATTTTTATATAAATAAAACGTGCGTTATATTTATTTTATAATGGATTTTTAGATAAATTTGAAGAATTGCTTGTGTTATTCTACAATAAGTGATTTGCTTATTATTAATAAGACTGTAAAAGTCTTGGTGTGTATCACATTTTGTACGATAGATAAATTCAACAATTGCAAGTCTTTTATGAGTTATTTTATATTTATAACAATAATATGTCTACTATTCAACTCTTGGAGTTGGTATTTAAAACATATGCATATAGAAGCATATAAGTGGAAGAGTACAAGAAACATAATTTGACTGACTAATAAAGCATTATGCTGCATTCTTAATCTACACTTAAAGTTGTATCATTATGATATGACCAACAAAATATAAATCATAGCACGCATGTGATGATTTAAAGAACTAAGTTCCCTACATGTATCCATGTATCCCTACGTGTATTCTGAATTTATTCTGAGGTATCGCAATATTTTTTATATCAAAATTTCTATCAAAAAAAGTTCATATAAATGTAGTTATCATTTTTTTATTCAGTTAAAAATAACACTTACACCTTCATAGATACTATGAAGTATGCTATCTTATTTATGCAATATAATATCTGAAATAATCTAAGTTTACATTTGTAAGTATATTGGCTACTATCTCAGCTTATTGGTAACACATGATAATAATTTACTTTCAATATGTATTTTACATGCTATTCATAAAAATATAGTTGTAATAATAAGATCTAATTATTCAACAGAGTCTTAATTAATATCATGTAAAATACAAGAAAAGAATCACATAGATCTTTTTTACTAATACAGTAGAGACTGTAATGAAAATGTAGAATAATGCAACTTACTGAATACTTTAGTTCTGAAATTGTATAATTGTAGTAACTGAATCATAATACTATAAGTAGCATAATTTTACATATAAGCACTAAATATTTGCAGAAAAAGATACACTCTTTTTTACCTGCTTAAATACAATAATCATTTACACTATATGTTTATAATTCAAGTATGAAATAACAAGTGAAGAAAAGCCATTTTAAAATACACTGCATTTCTTAGTTATCTTAAA